TATGAGAAGTGAAGTTAGAAACAGGATTGTAAGAATTATTTAATAATAGAGAGTTGTGGGTGTAAGATCTAAAAGAGATAGAAGGTTTGAGGTAAATAGTTTTATAATAAGGTATAATAATATGATCTGGTAGAGGGCAGGATTCACCAAGTGTATAGATGTGAGCTTTGCTAAAGTCTGATTTAACAGATATGACGATTTTTTCATATAGTTTGTTCATAGACCAATAGTAAGTAAATATAAAATAAAAGAGTTTAGAGTTTGTAGACTTTCAATGGGAGAACAATTTTGGAATATAAGGAATCAATTGTAACAAATGAGTGGATTATAAAATGAGAGAGTTATATTAATATGAATCTTATGTAAGTCTTCTACAGAATTGCTCACCATATACCCAGCTCTCACGGTTCTGCAAGGACTAGAAGTACTCTGGTTAAACATTAAAGTACCGTCATTATCTAATCCTTCCAAGTAAATAGGCTTATACACCTGCCTACTTACATCATCTTCCTTATTAACTACCAAGGGTGCTTCTTTTAATAAAGTGGTGGCTATATTTATAGAAGTAGTAGAAGACTAGATTAATGAAAATGAGATTGGGATGAATTGGATTGGTTAAGAGGGATAGACAAGGGAGGTGAGGAATTAATAATAGTGTACATTGTAGGATTGTTATTAGGAGTTGAGGTAAGAACATTTGTTGTTAAAGGGGGTTCGGTAATTTCAGAAGTAGTAACTTGTATAGAGGTTAAAGTAAAATTAGGTGAAATATTATCAGGTGTAGAAGAAGTATTTACAAGAAAGAGTGAGTTATCAATATTGGAAGAGACTACAAAGTTTAAGTTAAATTTGGTAACAATAATATTTTCAGCTTGTTTGCATACTTTGTTGATATAGTAATTAGAAGTTTGAGAGAGTGAAGGTTGTTGATCTTTAATAATGTCAAAGTAGGTTATAATTTAAGCAAGAAAATCAGTTTTAATGAGATTTTGGGTAACTAGATCAATAGCTTGATCTTTAGAAAGTTTGTCAATATTGTGGTTTTGAGCAGCAATATTTTAATAGGCAATAAAGTATTTATAGAAGAAGATATTATGATGATCAGTGGATGTAGGAGTGAAATTGTTATGACAGAAAGTTTTTTTAGCTTGGTTGGCTAATTTATGAATAGTTGAGGTAGGAATTGGTAGTTTGAATATGGCTTGGTACTTATGATTGATAAAGAATATTGATGTATTAATATTTAAGTCTTGTAAGTCGATATCTTCTTTGGGAAAAGTATTAAATGAATTCTCTAAGATTGCTTTAAAAAGTTTTGATGTATCATGTTTATGGTCAGAAATATAAGAATAGTTAATGTGTTTGCATATGAGTAAATGAAAATTAAGGTAACGAAAACATTCATTACGTCTATCTTGAAAATTATAAAGTTTGAAGAAGGAAATATCTGAAGGAAATAAAAGTTTAAATTGGGTTATGAACTGTTTTCTAATTTGTGATTGAAGAAAAAGTTTAATATCTTCTTTGTTGGGGATGGAAGGGAATTGTTTACTGTATGAAGAAAAGATATTTTCAAACCATGTATTAAAGTGATTGAAAGAATTTTTAAGGGATGGAATAGAAAATTATTCAAGAAAGAGAGTTTTAGGAATGTTAAAAAGTAATTGTATATTAAATCTGTTATCTGATTTAATAGTAAGATATTTGTCATTCTTATTATAGAAAATAACAGAAGAGGTAAATTTAAAGTTTTTAGGGCGAAACTTGAAATCTTTAGCAAATTTGTTGTAATTAATAGCTTGATAGTTGTTAAAGAGGTATAGATGCAGTCGAGCTAGATTGAGGCAAAATTGTAATTGATTTGCAGTATTGTATTGAGAAACAGTAACAAAAGATATAAAGATTTCGGCATAGTTAAGTTTGGTAAAAAGGATTGTAGTAAATTTTAGAAGGATTTTTTTAAAGATGTCTTCAAGAATATGAAAAGGAATAGGAGCATCTTGATTAATAGAAGGATTAATCTCATAGATATAATCAATAAGGAAGTTAGAACGTGCACCGGTTATCACATAGATGATGTGATAAAAGCTAGCTTTGAGAGATTGCTTGTTGTTAGATGTTGCTTCTTTAAGAGTACTACCAGGGTAAAAATTGTGAAGATAGGTTTTGAGGAATATAAAGAGTTTTAGGGAGAAATTGGTTTGAAGTTTGGTATTAGATTTCATGATATCAGTTATAGGAAAATTATAAATCTAGTCAAAAGAGAGATTTGTTTAGAATGGGAAGTAGGTTGGTTAGAAGGTGGGGAGTTAGATTTTTGTTGTAGTACAGAAGAGTAGAATTGATTTTGAGGTTGTTTGTTTTTAGATATAGAACTTTGAGTAATTGAAGAGTAGGTTAGTTGAGAGGTAGAAGAAGACAGATATGGGTTTGGAAGTTGATGGGCTTGAGTATAAAAAGATAAAGATGAAGATGAGGCCACAGACTAAGTAGAAGGCTGAGTAGCAGTAATTAGTTGAGTAGGAGAAGGGTTAGATGTAGATTAACTAATAGGGGTGTCAATATCCATCATTTTTGCAACGAAACTAGAAGCTTCATTATTAAAAAAGTCTGGATTATTTGAGAGAGAAGAAGTTTGGTTAGTGGTAAGAGTAAAAAAGTTAGTAGAATTATTATAAGTAATAGGATCAAGTTTGGGAGCGTCATTAGTAGATATTAAGGAACATAAAGGGTTTTGAGTAGAGGAACTATAAATATATTCAGATACAGAAGAGGATAGAAAACGACTTAGAAAACCAGGTTTAGGGGATGGGTTAGATTGATAAAAAAGTGAAAGAGATCGAGAGTGGGGAGTAGGAGGTTGGGAAGAATTTAATTGGTTTGGCTGAGTAATTGAAGTTTGGGTAGTTGAAGCTTGTAGAGGTTGATCAGTATGAGTTGTAGAGAGTTGGGAAGTAATAGAGATGGTTTAAGTAGGTGGTTGGTATTGGGATACTGGGGTATTAAAAGAGGTAAGTGGTTTAGAATAAATAGTGGAAATAGGAGTAGTTGGAGTAGATGAAGAAACAGGCAATTCGATGCACAAATATGCTTTGTAGAATGGTTGATTATTTTTGAATATAGTATTTTTATCAAGTGAATGGAGTTCAAGATCTGGTGTAAAGGTACATACTGTAGAATAGGCTATTGACAAATAGTATATAAGTGTTGGCATTGAGTTAGGTTACGAGATGAATATTGGCTTTGGGTTGGTTAACGGAAGGTTGAGTAAGAGTATTAGATGATTTAGAAGAGGAGAGTTGAACAATAGAGGTAAATTTGGTATGATATTTTTTGCAAAAGCAAGTTATGATAGCAGCAGTATGAGGGGCTTGAAAGAAGTGGGTATTTTTACTCATACTATGAAGCTGAGTTGAGCATTTAGTAAGAGTAACACCTTTATTCATAGGTCTAGTACTATTAGGTCTATCCTCATAAATCCAGATACCAAAACAATTGGGGTACTGGGATAAAAAGGTGTCAAGATTGATGGTATCAGGTTGTTTGGTGCTGAGAGTAGGCATTTAAGCTATTTTTAACTTAAATATTTGAATAGGGATAAATTAGGCATCGTAGAGCAATAATAATAATAAATTATTGTAGAGAATGAAGAGAGCTTCGAAATAGTATAAAATTTGTTTTATGTAATGTAGATTACAAAAGTCAAGATAGGTTACACAAATCACATGCAAAGCACATATTACACAAACGTCACCTATAACCCGAGTATGCCCCGTGAAACTTGGGTGACGTTGCTAAATTAAAAATAGAAAGAATACAGAAATAAAAATAGTTAATTTGTGTAATAAAACTTAAAAATAGTGTAAATGGGGAGAACCACTAATGTTGAGGTATTTGAAAATATGGATAACACAGGTTGAGGTTGCACGGAAAACGTCTAAGTGGTTTTTGCCAAAATGTTTTAAAAAAAAAAAAAAAAAATAGAAAAAGAGAATTATAGGGAGTTAAAGCAGTAATTTGAACATAGCTCTATCAGTTTTAAAGCTACAGACTTGTACTATAGCTTGTTATGACAGGAACCGTGAGCTCTTTAACTTTTTCTAAACTTAAAAAGTATGTCAAGAAGGCCGTTTGGTAGGTATTTTGAGTAAAATACAAAAGCAGGCCAAAAGGCCTTAACTTGACAACTTTACAAGTTTTAGCAATAATATTTAGATGTTATGTGTAGCAAGAAGGAAGAAACAAGTTTACTTAAGAGACAAAATTGTATTTGTATAGTAAAATAATGAGCAATAAAATATTTTTGAAATAATTAAAGTGAGAATTTTTGTATACAAGTGATAGTCAAGAAGAGTTATCAGGATTCTATTTAATTAAATTTATTATTTTGTAATATTTAATTTGTTTTGCTAATTTTGATATTCAAAATATTTTGATTTATTTCAAAATAATCGTAATATTACATAAGAATTATAATTTTTAGTATATTTCAATTCTTTTTGAGTTTAGTCAAATTAAACTATTTTATTTAATATTTTTTTTACTTTTTAAATTACAGCAATTATTTCCACTAACTTTCAAAATTATTTGAATTATTTTGAAATTTTTTCGAAATATTTCGATATATCTTTCATAATATTTTGAAATAAATTCTGTATTATTTCATAATTGAAAATTCTGAAATATTTTGTGTCATTTGTAATTATTGTAAAATATTTCAGGCCATAATAAATTTCGTAAATTTTCGTTTATATATTTTGCTAATGTAGTTCTTATACATGTTTTAATAAAAGCAAGCCATGGCAGAACCTGTGAAGATTAAAAAAATATAAAAATAAAAATAAAATATACTAAACCATTTGCCTTCTACTGTGGAGATTCAATTATATATTTCAATAGCAGAATCCCTATACTGGGTGACCTTGTTACCATAACAATATAAAAAATTCATCAATATTAACTAAAGTTATTATCATTATTATTTAAAAAAAAACATTGTTTTATTTAAAATTTGCCATTGTTATTTTAACATTAAATCTGTTCAATATATATGTTGTGTGTCAGATCGATTCTTGCATCAGATTGCTTCTTGCATCAGATTGCATCTGACGCATGTCAGATGACTATTAGTTGACCAGCATTAAATGATCGGTGATAATTGGCCTAAAAAACTCCTAACTTTACCGAAATTTTACCCTGCAAAAGACCGGTCCAAGACCAGTCTTTGTGATCAGACTGGTTGAACCAGTCCAGGATCGGTTTCTTGACTATTCATAGTACCCAATCAAATTTCTTGATTGAAATGTTACGTAGATCACACGAATATCATGTGATGTTTATTTACTTAATCATTTTCTACAGAGGGATTCCCAAATTTCCGGGTCGTAATGGCCGGAATGCATCGTGGTTAGGGTCGGGGTTAGGACTGGGTTAGGGTTAGCGGGAGCTATAGACTTTAGTAAAATTATCAGCTGGGCACTTTTCACTTAATGAACGACTATTGTTTCATTAGTAAAATTCTTAGTGATCTTGGGGCAAAATCGATCAACTCCGGCCCTTCCGACCAGAGTTCCAAAGCTTATGACCCGGAATTTTGGGGATCTCCCTGTAGGAGTTTACTAAACTTATGAGAACCGAAAAAAGACTGGGACCGAGATCGTAAATACTATATAATCGATCCTCATAGGACCGGACCGGTGCATCCCTAAGCTTATTTCCCAACGATTTAGTCTCTGTGATTATGGGTTGATACATATTAGAATCAGACGCGTTATCAGATGTGTTCTCTATCTGTTCGGGTGAAGCAATTTTCTCAGAGGTATCACCTTGTGCCTGTTCTAGATTCACTGAGTTGATTCTATCATCCTCACCGGAGTGGTCATTAATAGACGATGGAATAAGCTTCTGTGGAGTTACTGATAATGTCGGAGAAACTGAAGACTGCGAAGTATCATTGACAGTTCGATTTTGCTTTATAATTTGGTTTAATTTGGTATTTTAGATCCTAAGCTTAGCAATTTATCTATAATTTGTTAATTTAGCGTTTTCAGTCTCAAATGTAGTAACTCGCTGTTTCAATAATTCAAGCTCTGATGATATGTTTGATAATAATTTTTATATAAAGCACGATTTATTTAAATTATTAAGTTAAAAAAAATACGCTTCCGTTCCAATTTGTCACACCGATCATTTTCGCCAAGAAAAAAAAATAATAGCGGTAATGGAACACACAATTGGCTTTTCTGGGTCAGAGATATGCGTAACGCGTGAAAAGATTCATTGCTTTATTAATTACAGAAATGGCCAATGCCACATACGTCTCAGTGGTCGGACTTATATTTTTCCTCAACCCGACGTTTTTTAGCATCAGGTGCCTTCTCTACCGTTACCCTATCCTTCAACAAACCTACAACGATTCCCATTACTTTTTTTGCGCTCTTTTTCAAATCCGAATCGTCCTTGAGTGCTGACTTGGTGAGTGAGATATGGTATTCAGTTTCGCTGGTACAATAGATGCCTTCTGTCGTGTATAAGATGAAGTACCAGTCCGTGCCTAATATTATACGAAATAAAAGTTAGAAAAGCTCGCTTACGAGCCTTACCAAACAATATGCCTACCTGTTGAAACGATGCCGTATAAATATTCATAGTCCGATTCTCCGAATGCATCACTCGCCTTCCGTTTCTTTTGATTTTTTAAATTCGTCTGACACGAACTTTCAAGCTGGACAAGGTTTTGGGCAAACCCAATGGCTGGCGAATTTTGCTTACCCTCCACAACGCGTAATAAATCCTCAATATCTGTTATACCATAGTCGGCTCGACCTGACGATTCTTCACCTACGATTTCTTGTTCTGGACGGATTTTTATCTCTTTACCGGTGACCTTTCTTGCTATACGAACCGATGCGTGAAGGATTGCAGAAATATATTCTCCGCGCATTGCTTCGTTGCTGTCGGCTACTGTTCCAATGTTCGTCAGTTTTGCTACTATATCCAAGATGCAATGGCGAAGAGATTCGTCTTCCTCATCGATAGGGTAGGTTTCTACCATGTATATGTCGAAATGAGATTTGCTTCGGTGTAAAATAATATTATGCTGGCTTACTACATACCTGGCTGGAATTGTGGAATGCTCGTTATACTATTACTGTCAATGCCGTACTTTGCCAATACTTCTTTAAAGTCTTTCAGACTGCGGTATGATGAAAAAGTATAGTTGTTAGACGAAACCTTTTTCGCATGGTGATTAAAGACGAAACCTCTGACGAAAGTCGAAACCCCAAACTCTTCTGACGAAAGACGAAACCTTAAACTTAAAATGACGAAACCCATTATTTTCATTGAATTGACATTCATAATTTATTCAGAGATCAGTATCTGAAGTTACAGCAAAAATAAACCAGTTCATTTTTTCTGGACAACGCCAGGGTTGTTATAGATCGGTTGAAACAACCTTGTCAAAAAGCCACAGTACTTACTCATGGAATAACACAAATAACGAATTAAAAACATGCTGGAACAAAATAAATTTGTAAGATCACAAAGTAAGCACCAAGCGACTTCTCACTAGAACTGGTACGTAGCGTACTAGTATAATACATTATAGAAAACTCATTTCTAACTCCCTTTAAACAATTCAAACGCCTATTAAACAATAAAATTTTTATTAGTTATTTTTTTATACACATAATCAATGATTTTCAGCAACATTTATTTGTATATTCGTCTTTGTCGCTTTACAGTTTCGTCATTTAAAACTAGCTTTCGCGTTTCGTCAGCGCGAAACTTCGAAGTTTCGTCTAACAACTATATGAAAAAGACCTCAATTTTTTCTCATTGACCTCTTTGGTAAAGTCCGGTAAAGTCCGCGAGTCTCGTTGCTGGCCCTAGCTTCATTCCATGTCGTTCGAAATCATCTCTGCCCAATTTGAGGAAATCACGGCCAGCGATCTTCTCATCACGGAGGATTTTGAAATCGTCTTCGTCCAGTTGCAAGTCTTCCTCCCCACGTAAAAATTCGACGAGCTTTTCCGCACCATACTTTCTAACCAGTTCGGCTAAAGTGGGGTCGGGCTTTTCTTCCTTCGCATTACTAGTGGAGACTGAAGCTGGGGTTGAAGTGGTGGATTATATATGATTTTTTGGGTAGAATTTTATTGACAGACTGCGGAATGATATACTAGAAAAAGTGAAATCATTAAAATCCAATCACAGGATCTTAAGATCGAAAACGATAAATGGGGCAGACATGGGTATATGTAGGGATGGCCCGGTCCGGTCCGACTCCATGAGTCTAGACTCGGTCCCGAGTCAGACTTGGGACCGAGTCCCAGTAATTTCATAGTAGTTACATGCAATATTAGATGTCATAGGATCATATGATAACGATAAGTATATATTTTAATAACAAAACTTCACACTTTAACAAAACTTCCTCTAACTCTAACATATTTTATCTTTATTCCATGTCTCCACGTTCAGACAGTGATGGACAAAACTCATGTCACTTGGTTTTTTTTTTCGTGACCTTAGTCATTTGTCATATGACATTATGTCACGATACACTTAGTCACTTAGTTACAAATAAAGTAACAAAAATCACATGTTGATAAAAATAATATAAAGGGAGCATCTCCGGACACTTACCATTTCACGTGAATTTGTACTTACCAAGTTATATCGATATGGTATTCTTAGATATATGATATAAATGTATATCACAATTATGCCTATGCAAGTTTATTCAGGTAGCATTATGCATTTATTATCATTATACGTACGTACGTATGTACTTCAATCGCATGATTTCGTTAAGTACAAATTCACGTGAAATGGTAAGTGTCCGGAGACGCTCCCTAATATAAACTATATTACTGGTCACGTGGTCACTTAAATATCCAATAAAATTAGATTATTTATATTTATCTAACAATTCTGGTAGTACAATTAGAGTAAATAGCAAATCTATTATTTAAAGTAAGTAATATTATACTAAACCTATGCCATGTTATTTCAAAGTCATTTTGGATTTATAATTATTTAAGTGACTAGTCACTTAATTTTTTAGAGTGACGAATGATTAGTGACAAAGTCATCTAAGTCATCATGGTCATCAAATATGACTGTCCATCACTGCGTTCAGATGGTTGTTAACTATAATAACCTCCAGTTTCAACTCTTTTTGCTGTGGCTATTGCTTTAGCTAAATTTAATAAATTTTCTAAAGAAGTCAGAATATTCTTTTGAGATATGTTATACTGGAGGTCTAGGCTTTAAAGTTCCTTCAACTTATTCTGCTTTGGCGCTTTTAATAAGATGTAAGTTTGTATAAGCGCCGCCAAGAGAAAACCTGTAATCGGGTTTTCGATTATATTTTGTATCAGACAAAATCCCGGACTTTTAACATCCCTAGGCTTGGTCCTGGAAAAAAGGACGAAATTGACAAAAAAAAATTATTCACAAAAATTTAATTACTGTAACTCGCGAATTATTGACCAGACCATTCGATTCGTCTCGATGAGACAAATCGAATGGTACCAAAATAATGTGAATCTGATCGATAGTTCGCGAGATAATTAATTTTTTGTGGAGAATTTTTTTTGTCAATTTCGTCCCTTTTTCCAGCACCAAGTCCAACCATATAAGAATTGGAATCGGTTTAGTCGACTAAAAAATTTTTATAGTAAATTACTATGTTTAGTCGACTAAACCGATTCCAATCCCTACAACCATATGCTATTACCTTATGTTTGGTTCACACCCTATCGAGACATTCAAATTATTGTAAAATAACAATTATTGCGATTAATTGAAGAATAATTTGTCAAAAAGTTTATGATTTAAATTTGTCTCTGGTTCGTTGAATTGAGCACTTGAAAGCCTGGAATTTTACTCGTCCTACGTACGTGATCTTACTTACTTACCGGTGGTGCACATTTCATCGACAACATTTCACCCAACACCTCAGTCAACCGACAATCAATTCCAAGATTATTTTACCACAATTAATTCACCGAAAGTTTACTTCACCGAAAGCTCATTCATAGGCAATGTAATTCTGGTCATTGGTGGTTAAAATTAGAGTCAAGGTTAGTGTAATTTATAAAAAAAACTTGTCGGTGAAATAAGCCGTCGGTGAAATGAACTTGTCGGTGAATTAGTTGTCGGTAAAATATCCTTGTCGGTGAACTAAGCGGTGAAGGTGAAATGATACGTATCAGAACTTACTGGTCTACGCAGCATCACATGTTGCACAGATATCCTTATGGATTATTCTGAAATGAAATAGAAGACAATAAAACTATTACATAAAATTACATCAATTTAATAACTTACAAGCAAATTAGCCAGCTAAAAAATTTATAACATTATGTGGTTGAATGCATAAAATAAAAATTTATATTAGTTTTTTTAAATAATGAATTTGCTTAATAATATTTTAAACCTTAAAATTCGATAGTATTGCATCATAAATTATATAATCTTAGATATTAAGGCTGATTCGAAAATTCAGATAAGAGTCACTAACTTAAAATTAAATATATTTTCGACTATACTGGGCATTTAAGCAGTGATATTATTCGTGATTGCAACGAAAATGTAAAGAAATCAATTTTGCAATAAAAAAAAATGAAAGCGATTATAACGTAATGAAAACAAAGAATGTCTAAAACGAACGAATAAAAGGGAAATATGAAAATAATATATAACGAAGGAATAAATATTTTCTACGAAAAAAAAATAATTGTCATGAAAAACGCTTGTGCTTGCGACAAGAATTTTAAAAAAAATCGGACCGAAAAATGGTTTGTTTGCAAAAAAAATTGTAATAAAAATATGTAACAATAAGAATATTTACAATTAACAACCCATTTTTATGCGGAGAGAAATTTTTACTCGAAAGGAAAAAAAAAAAACTGCTACAATTTTGTTCAATATGTGGGTATTCGGATAGATGCGATTGTCAGATAAATTATGTACGTACGTACGTACGTGCGCGCGGGGATGTTTCAGTAGATTCATCGTAAGAATTAATATAAAGATGTGGAATTTCGGATTCTCCATTGTAAGAGTTAACATAAAGATATGGAATTTCAGAATTTCCATCGTAAGAGTTAATATAAAGATGTGGAGTTTCGAAACCTCCATCGCAAGAGTTAAATATAAAAATGTGGAATTTCGGAATCTCCATCGTAAGAGTCAAATAAAACGACGTGGAATTTCGGAATCTCCATCGTAAGTGTTAATATAAAGATGTGGAATTTCGGAATCGTTTAAATCACTAGTTGAAAAGGAAGATATAATATTTTGTTCGTTACTTGGCATAATTGGTTCATGAAAACATAATGATGGTTGAGTAATTTCAATAGTCTCATGTATGTTAATATTAGTAGCTATAGTATGGCTATAAGAATGTGAGGAGGATCCATTTGAATCACTAGCAGAAAACGAACTAGAAAAGGATGTGTTGTGTTGATCATTATTTAGCATTCGTTCGTCGTAAATGAAAAAGGAAGACGGACTGATCATAGACGCATTATGATATGCTTCAGCAGTATCAGAGGGGTTAGCTGATCCAGGTTTTGGACCTCGTTTATCACCCGGGATAAAAATGCAGCGCAGATTTTGTTCATTACAATAGATACATTTATCTTCTTCGCTAGAAAGTACGTTACATTTTCCACGTCTTCTTCGACAATTTGAACATGCTGTTGTTACGTGAATACGTGCTTTTTGTTTTTGCCGAGGCATTATTTTATGCGCGTAAAAAGTCACTAAGATTTGAAAAAAAGTGCTGTTCAGTTGAAGACAATTTATATAAATTTGCCCAATTACTACACTGGTGTTATAGAATTAGCGGTGCAGCCATAAATATTCTTTATATGAGTGCATAAGAGGGAAAACCTGTAAACGTTATCACTAGTGTCAGATTCAACGCGTGGATCCAATCAAATTGCTTTATTTCAGAAATCAGTTTATATTATTGTAATTAAGCTACGACAACTCTCTGGGGCGTCTAATATTATAATTAATGTAAGGTCAATCAATAAATATATTAATAGATTTTCAAAAAGTTGTAGATCATTCGGAGTATCAAAGAGCAAATTTATATATAATTTAAAAAAAATTTACGTAAAATGATTTAATAATTTTTTCTTGCATATTAATGTAAAAATTTTTTCTGTAATTTTGTTCATATTGCTACAATTGTTATAAATAAAAAATTTGAACGAAAACTATCGAGCCAGTGAGTCTAAACATCTAATAAAGCTGAATACTATTTGAATTATAGCTATCATATGATCTTAGTTGCCGAATTTGTAATTGATGTTTGTATAATACCAGAAAATCTGCACTTAGCGTTAGCGGATTTACAAATTTGTTAACATAGTTTTGATTAATTATGATACTAGACACCCCAACAACTCTCTGTCATCTGCATCATTGAAATACTAACGATCCTTCGCAATTTAGATGTATAACTAATTAAATGATTTCGTATATTATAAAACGAACCTATAGTGGCTCATGTTATAGTATTTAGGGTTAAGGTTTGGAAAGGGTTTTTGGGGCGTAGAGCATTTTTTACTTAGAACACCGCATAATGATTAATTAGCCAATTTTTTAAGATAACGTAAGATAAAGTGGTAAACACCATAGGTGCGTTTTAGTAAAAGAGAATGAATTTAATTCGTGTCGATTTAATAAATTAAGTTCACATATATTCTTCTTTCATACAATAAACCTGATATAGCCGATATTAGTGATGTCAACAATATTATTATACTCATGACTAAATTCATTTCACCAATTTCACCAATAGTGGTGAAATAACTAATTTTCTTTATACTCACGACTAAGCATGATAAAATTTTTGAAGCTTAGACTTCATATACATGCTGATGATCATGATGTTGGTGATTAGGGGAGAGCCGTTTATCGCATAATTTTTTAGGGATTAGCAATTTATCACGTCTATATGTTATAAATGATATGATTGGCTACTGATTTTATCACCCTACTAATAACAAGAAATTACGGAATAAACGACACACCCATTAGCTAATGGGAGTTTTTAGATTTCATAATCACCTCGAAACCGCGCTAAATTCTAGTAAAACCCGCGTTGGTAAAATTTTTGCCAATGATTATTCAACTATCACTAAAACCCGCTTTGATCATAAGGTTAGGATGAAATCCGTGTAAGCATAATGTTTTTTATATTAACGCGGATTCCACCCTCATGTGAACTGCATAGCGAATTTCACCCTAGGGCACGAAAAATTTGGATATCAAATTTCAAATCTTTATTGGGTATCAGCAAAAATTTGGATTTTGCCGGCATTACGAAATTAACTTATAATTTAGGTCATGTCACATGACTAGTAATGATCTGCGTCTAGGGTTTTTAAGAAACTTGATACCGTATTATACAATTGGTATAATACCCGTATAATACCAGTATTATACACAGAGGGTATGTGTATAATACCATAATTAAAAATAATTTAGCCGATTAAATAGTTTTTTTTTGAGGACACGAAGGTTTCCGATTTAAACAAGCTAATTTTTAGAAATTTCCGAAAGATTCCGAACCATATTAAACTATATAGAAGTAAAATATTGGTAATACCGTATTATACAGTATTATACGGTATTATACCTGGTATTATACTACCATTTCTATTATACCGGTATAATAAAAACCCTATCTGCGTCCCTGAATTATTTCACGTGATCAAAAGACGATTTGGAACCAATATTTTTATTTTTAAAAATTTTGATTTATTTAGATTTTGTGCAAACATTGGGAAAATTTTGGAAAAATTTATTTCCAAATTTTTCCTGTTTCACCTGTCGTATTAATATTAGCAATATAGCATTTAATTATTAGTTTTTATTGCAGTATCGGTATGGGTAAATCGAATTTAAGTGATGATCTACAAAATTTTCACTTGTTCATTTTTTTTTTATCAATTAGCAAAAAATTTTGTAAAATTGTCAAAATGGGCTCTTTTAATGCGAGGCGCCCCATATTATTAAAGTCAGTGTTATCACATGACAATTAAAAAAGTAATGACAGCAATAACGAAGAAACGGTATTACTAGTCTGTATGTTTCAGATTATTATTAAATATGAGTGCTACCAAGGGAAAAGGGAACCTTCGTTTTTATCTGATGATCGACGACATATCGGGCTTTCAATTATGATAAAGTAACCTCTGAAATTGTCGTCATAGTGAAAGCCCGATATGTTGCGATCATCAGATAAATAATCAATAAAAACGAAGGTTCTCTTTTCCCTTGGTGGCACTCATATACTTATATTTTATTAATAATCCCGGATTATTAATAAAATATAAGTAGTGTTTGTAGTCGATCCTTATTTATCGACTTGACTAAGTCGATATTTAAAATTCGGCTTAGCCGGCTAAGTCAGAGTCGATAAATATTTTACCTTTGGAATTTATCGGTGATTTCATCAAATTTTTGTCGCGACCTTGCTCGTATTTTTATGTTCGTTGATTTTCTCTTCGGAAATTTTCAGCACTTACTCTTAGTACTATGTACTAAGAGAGGTAATGTATCGAAACTGATTGGTACTTTATTTAATATAATCTACATAAAATCGACTAAGTCGGTTTTATGGAAAATCGGCTGACTAAGCCGGCTAAGTCGATAAAAATCGACTATGCGAAATTGACTACAAACACTACTAATCCCCGATCACTATGCCAAAATCATGGTTGATTAATGAATGAGTGCTACAAAGCGAAAACCTGTAATTGTGAGTTTTCCGAAATTAATTTTCAGATCACATTTATGGATCAGAAGGCGGAGCTGGAAAAAACCGAAATTCCAGGTTTTCGCTTTGCAGCACTCGAATAATATCCTGATCCATATGCGGAAAGAAGTTTCCATCCTCAATGGGTCATGATATTTATTATTGCTAAAAATAGAACTATCTTATACTACGTAATAATCATATTTTCACTGAGATTAGCAATATGCTATCTCATTATACAATCATGTGTAAATTAGCTAATAAGCATGTTTCCTATATCCACCTGTGTCATTATACTTTACTGGCAAAACTATTCCCGATTTTATTATACTTGGATTGAAATTTGGAATTTGAGATTTGAGATGGATTGGAAGTTTATAATTGGGCGGCAATGTGAACGTAACCTTATACCCTTCATTTTTGTTAGTATATTTAACGAATTGGTATATTCTTTACTGATCGATAATTCCCAAATAATATCGTAAGACATCACTAGGTACCAATGAACAATTATTTCGTAAGTATAATTCTCAGCTTCGCTCATTTCTAACCAGGGACACGGAATTTATGCATAAGAATTTGTAAATTATACGTGCGGTATATAAAATTTCCGATTTAAATATATACTTTGTTATCAGATCGTCTTTATAATAGTCAAGTATAAAGCCGAATCAAGATGATAATAATCCAATTTAGAACATAAAACGATATAAATGAGTATGCGTTTTGTTTAATCACACTAAATCAAATAATTTCTGTGTCTCTGCAACGTACCCGTCTTTGTTTTCAACAGCGAATTTTTTGTTTTGAGTGATGATTAAAAATTAATAACTTAATAATAATAGTTCATAAAATTTGATCCAATCGTTTATGTGATATTGCTTAATTGCCGGTATTAAAATATAAAAATATAATAAAATTAAAATTAATTGTTTAATTTTTTTTGTTATGAAATGCTTCTGAAACCGTTATGAAACTGTTTTATAAAAAACATGACAAAATTAAATCATTGATTGGTCCATTGCATCTTTGCTATTAATATTTTGATATAATGACGTACAGTATTTTCGTTGTTTAAAGATAGCAAATTCATAACTTATTATATGTGATTCTATTGTATCATTTAACTTTTAATGATCACAATATTCCCATGATCTATGTGAAGAATTTAGAAATTTAGATTAGTAAAAATTAAACTTCCGATTAGAGCGGGTCTTGAAAATCCCGGAATTCTGGGAAATATCTTGAATTCCCCATGACATAGTGATCTGCGACCGTTTACACCTTTGAAAAACAACTGTAAATACATATATGCAGAATTTTGCATTCTTTTTGTTAAAATGAAACATAACTTGGCATTTATTCTTCAACTTGAACTGAATTAAGAAATAATAAAGTGAAATTTTTCATATTTCTGATAAAAACTATCCATATACCTATGTACAATATAGCAGTAAGGAATTTAAGGTTTACTGTTAAAGTTGCGTATATATTTTTTTAAGATACTATATTTATATATATATTGCTCATTACTTTCCGAATTAACAATTTACACATGGTAAAAGTTTACGTTTTGCATATACTGTAGATCGATTATTTTTAAAAAAAATCGGCTTAATTAAACTCTGTTTGGTTATTTGACAATTAGAGATTGTACCTGAGTAGAAATTGTTATTATATAGCTATTACTATGGTAATTTATTAATACTCGGGTAGAAATTTCCTTGGTGGGTACGATCTCTATTGATCAACCAACAATATGCATTCGGATAATTACATTTAACAATTTCTGAATTAATTTTGATTGGTTGTTCACAATACGAAAACTTTTTTGTAGCTGATCAGAAACATAATACTTGTCTAATATAGGGTGAACCCCACGTGAAGCATATTGTTTTTCTATGTTAATGCGGATTTCGCCCTCACCTGCATAACGGATTTAACAAAAATTTCACCATCATAAAAT